AAAAAAGGTAAAGCTTAATCAGTTCATCAAATAATTAAATATTAAATATCATAATAATACATTTGGGAGATTCATCCAAGTATGACTCTCATGTAAATATTCATAGTATTCACGCAAGAAAAAATCCATTTTCTATACCATCTTATTTTTATTCCCTTTCCATAATTTTTCTATTAAAAGACAGTCCCAAAAAATATATTAATATAAATTAATATAGATTAATTGATTTCTATACATATATATATATATATATATATAACATATTTTATCAACTTCTACACTTCCTATCCATACAAAAAACGTGCAGGTAACTTTCGCAAAATATAAAGAAAAATGGCACCGTTAATTGATACACTCGATGTCGTTAATAGGTCCAACAAACTTTATTTGATATTGAGATTCTAATTATTGAGATGAAATTTGATGTGGAGTCCAAGAATTTTTTTGAGATCATCTTTCAAGATCAAGAGGTAATATTTTGATTTATTATATAAATATTACTAACATGCGTATTTATTTTAATGTAACTTATTTTGTAAAAATTCATAGGGCGCGCAAATAACTGCCATTATACGTTCTTCGTATATGAGTGCATCTGGAGGTGTGTTTAAGCAAGGTGTTATATATGCACTTATGGACTATGGGATGTACTCAACAACCATCCACCGGTGGAAGATTCTGCTCAACGTAATTATATTTATAAATATTGTTTACAAAAGATACCATCAAAATTCAAAATCTCTGTTAAAATGTAATAAAACAAAATGTTCTAAATGTTGTATTTGATTTGGAATAAAAAATGAGAATGAGTGAAAAAAGATACTATAAATCTGCACTTTAATGTAACAATTTTTCTTATATTCCATATAAAATTAAATTTCACCTCATAAATTATATCTTTAATGTTTGTCACATTATTATATATTTTCACTATAATTTTATTTCGTGGTGTTGACATTCCAAAAATCAGCACAAAATTAGAGAAATGAGGTGTTTATCAATTACCAAGTGGAGAGAATATCGGTCTACAGTTACCAAGTGCCAAATAATTTTGCATGGAAAACGATGAGACTTTTAATAATGTACGACTTTTTTCTTGACGAACATTTTATGATTAGTTGACAAATCCTCTATGTATAATAACATATAGTAATAGCCTTCAATTTATAAATTTTACTAAAATAAATACAGCCTGTGCATCGCACGGGGTACGTACTAGTAATATCTTAACTAATTAATAATTTATCTAACTGAAATTATCACTCTAACAAACTTGCCATTTTTTTTTTTAAAAATTAAAATGGCATGAGTACTTTCATGGAGATACTTACCAATATATTAAACATTTAGAATTTTTTTTTTTTTTTTTTTTTTTAAAATGAGTTATCCCTCCTTTTTCTTTATTTGAAATTCTAAGTTTTATTTTTAAATATATTATTGTTTATTTTTTTTTCTTACGTGTAAATTTTTATTATTTATTATCTAAATGATAAATATATTGATTTATCCCTTTAATAAATATTTATTATTATTTTTTTTTTTTTCTTACGTGATGTAATCTAAATTTGGTTATTAGATTTTTAAGTTCACACATTTAAAGGAAAAGATCACAAACATATTTTTTTGGGTACATTTAACTTTATCTTAACTTTCATATAATCACATTCCTAACAAACTAATTAATACAATTACAATTATACTGGAATTTTTAAAATATAATTAATATAATATTTCAAACAATTAATCTTTTGTCTAACCGAATTTATCTTATTAACAAACTTGCCAAAATTTTTGAAAAGTAAGATTATATATTCTTACGAGTATACATACCAGAATATTAAACTTTTTATTTTTTTAACAGGCGAGATGTGAAAGATATAAATAATTATATTTAAAACAAAGTCTAAAAAAAGGTTTAAAATATGAGCTATCTCCGTCGCACGGGCACTGGGTACTGTACTAGTTATTATAAGAATAAGAACATGCTTATACATTTCCCTCGTTTCCCGCCCAAATCCAACACCACTTGAACCGCCACCGCCCTTTCATCCCTCCAACCCCGACCACAGTCATGAATCCCGCCGCTAAGCCTCCGCGAAGCCGCACCTCCGCTGTCCGCCCCCCCTCTCAAACGCCGCCGGTAACAGACACCGAAATCATATCCCTCGCGCAGCAAGACAACCCCCACTCCTCCCAGCTCCCGACCGACTCATCACGCGCCGCCCTCCTCTCTTTCCTCCACTCGCGCGCCACCTCTTCTTCCGCCGTCTCCGATTACGTCTCCGCCCTCCTTTCCCTCATCTCCCGCCACCCCTCCTCGGCCCTAGCCTCTCTCCTCCCCTACATAATTCACTCCTACCTCTCTCTCTTCGTCTCCCACAAAACACCACATGACCGCACCTCTCAATTGATAATCCAACAATTTGCAGGGCACCTGGATACTATTGAAATTAGGGAGATACCTAAAATTATTGATTCTATAATCTCGTATCTCCCCAAAATCTACGATCTGGATGATGCACATGTGTTGTCTCTCCTCCCCAAGTGCATTGAATTGGTCAGAATCTCGAATGAAGTCAATAAGCCGGCCGAATATGTGGCCTCGGTTATGTGTGAATTACTCAGTTGCGAATGGAGTAAGGTTTTGCTGATCAAAATGGTGGAAACCATCCGGGATTTTTCTCCCTTCATCGATAAAGCTTGGAAGAGGAAATTTCTGGAAAAGACTTTCACAAAAATGAGGGATGATGTTGAAATTCAGGATTTGCCCGGTCTGGTTTATCAGTTGTTGGTATTGGCAGCGAAGGGATTCAGCAAGAGGGAGGTGATTGAAGGGATTGTGTTGTACTTTGGAGGTACGGATAAGGGCGGGTCGATTATGAAGCAGGTGGAGGGGACAGTTTTGCTTCATGTGAATTTTGCGGTGAAGCAGGATCCTTCTCTAGGACAGGAGGTTATGGGCCTGGTGAGATTGGACTCACGGGCTTTTAATCATTTCACAGTTGTTGTTTTGATGTCTATCGCGAGAATTAGGAGGTTTGGTGAGAGTGCAATTGATGTATTGAAAACGGCGCTGCTGAACGCGTATAAAGAGTTTAAGTGTGCGAAGTGAGTGACTAGTTTACTATTGCTGTTATGGTTTTGGCATCTAATATCGTGTGTTTTTGAGTCCTTTGACATATGATTTGTGTGTTGATTCTTTTCCGCATATTTTATGTGGGTTAGTTTGGGGAGGTGTATTTATGTTTGAGAAAGTGATTTTTTTTTGGTGTCAGTTTCAAGCCAAAAGGTAATTACACTTGATAAAATGTTCAGTGCCATGACAGCAATTGAGAACCGACGCCATCTTTATACTTGTCTCCGAAAATGATCCATGAGTTTTATATTTACATGATTCAGACCAATGGTGTTCAACATGATGAATGAATAGTTTTCATTGTTAATTATATACTGATTCTCAGAAGACTTTGTTGGTGCGGCAACATGTTATTTCAGAGTTTGCAGATGGCTACCAGATGAACTGAGGAAGGAATATCTGGAGATTGCTCGAGTAGTGGAAAAGGCTATACTGAAAGCTGTAAGCTATTTTCCCTTTTTATATTCTGTGAAGCTAAAAACTTTAACGCCATAGTGTATATATCCTAACCAATCTGAGTGAATGTGGACGATAAATTAATGAGTAGCTCAGATATAGTTGAATAAATCCCGGTGTGTGTGTTATGTTGGTATTATTATATTATTATTACAATAACTGCTGTGGTTTTAAAGTCATCTAGAAATAGGCATTTATGATTTTTAGCAGATGTGCTGATTGTTTGGTCTTTTCCTTTTGATTATGTGTTATCTTTCTATATATAGGTGAACGCAAGCCATTACGGCAGAGAGCACATTGTACCCAGTATAGTACAGTTGGGATTCAGCTTGCTTGGAGTAGAAGCGGGGGCTCAAAAAGAGAGTGTAAAATCAGATGGTTTGATGGGCCCTGAGGAACTAGGTGCCCAGGTGCTGAAATGTTTGTTTGAAGTGCACAACATGTCAAGAAATGAGGTTAGTAATTTTATATCAACAATGAGGTTTGTTTGAAGTGCACATTATCCATCTTCTAGGCTCACCACATTCAAAAGAAAGTGTTGATATAGGCTAAATTCATGGGCTGTAAAGGCTTTTTAATGACTTTATTTTGGTGTGCATAAATGTCAAAAGACATGTTTTCTAACGAGCTTACTGGGCGGATTCTATTCATCAGATAATCGAGCAATGCAAGTTCCGTGTCCTCTCTTTGAAGCCCGAGCAATGTTTCCCTATAATGAGGTGCTAATGTTAGGTTATTATGACCTTGTGGTTTGTGTTGCTTATTATTGATCAGTTCTTTTTATTTTTACATACTTCCCTTGTAGATTGCTGGGATATCTGGTCCTAGTCCATCCACACTCAATGTTGGATCATTTGTCTCATTTAAAAGAGACTTTGGATTATTTTGCATTTATGGATGACAGGATTTCCTATCATCTTGTTACTGTTCTACTTCCTCTCATCAAGCTTAGTCGAGATCTTAAGGTACTAGTTTCACAATTCCCGTGGAGCCAAATACTTTATTGCTATGTCAATGGCCTTTGTTATTGCATCGTTGCCTTTTGTCGTGGCTATCATTGACTGGAACTCCTGGAATATTATCTAACTGTAAAAGTTTATATTTGTTTCTTTTCAATTTTTATATCTGCCTATGTTGAAATCATTAACTTAACCTCTCGTGCCACTTTTCAAATATGCAGGATTACTGCATCTTGGTCTTACGAAAGGCTATGTTTAGACGAGAAAATTCAGTTCGTCTAGCTGCAGTTCGTGCAATTTTTGACCTGATTCTAGCAGAAAAACAGTCAAAATATGATGGCCTTTTTTCTTTTCAAGAATCAAGCAGCCAGGCCAGCTGCAGCCAAAAGACTGAAGTACCTCACCAAGCTAGGGAAGACCTTTTCCAAGAGCTTAGTGGTTTACTGCAAAGATGCCTTTATCAGCAGGTACATTTCAATATTTTAGTGCCTAGCAATTGTACTCCTTATATTTGTGGAATTTAAGATTAGATGCTTTTGATCTTTTTGTTAATTTAAGCGGTAGGCCTACATGAAGCTGTGATGAGATCTTAGCATACAAAATTTGAATTAAAATATCGCCTTCTCAAAGTCTCAAAGTTTCATTTTTGCTTTTCCAGGAAAATGTACGCGTGAATTTGTACCAAGGTTTAATGAAGCTTATTCTCGTGGATCCCTTAAGTGCAGGAGCCATTTTCGATTTTCTTTTGTCTCATTTCCAGCAATATTTTAGAGAGGTATCAGTCACCTATCTGATCTTTAGCAAATAATGTTGGTTTTCTACTTTCCTGAAAGAGCTTAGTTAATGACAGTTTCTGAAACTCCTCATGCCTAACTCCTATGATGTTCGTTTTTCTAGGATGCTGACCTTTGTTTAGGAATCGAACAGTGCCTGAAAGTAGAAAATGGAAAAGCCTGTGTTGAAGAGCCTCTGGACTGCCTTCTCTTTTGTGTCTCTTGGATTCTTCTTCTTCAGCCACAGAATAAAAACGATCATCCTCAGGATTCACTCCCTTGTTTTGGCTTTTCAATCACTCAGGATAATGAGGTTAGTTGAACTCCCATCCCAATTGTTTGTTTTTACTTGTAAAAGTTCACTACCATTATCGTTTGGTATTAATTGATGATACTTGCAAAACAATCAGGCTGGAAGAAATTTGTCTGGAGAGTCGTTCTCCAATGCTTTATCACAGGTCAGGAAGTATTTGAGAAACGGAAATTTGGAAGGTAATCTTTTAGCAAGATCATTGGACATATCAGTCAGAATTTTTGTTTTCTGTAATTTGTATAGAAAACTTCTTTGCTCTTTTTCATTTTGGGCGACAGAAAAGAATATAAAATAACTATTGAGATCACTGTGATTCTTTACTCTCTGCTATTACAAGTTTACTGTATTTATTGGTTTGAGTTGTATTCCATTGTGAGCAGATTTGCACCATTAAGACACTTTCTATTTTCATTGGTTATTTCAAATGCATGTGAGTTAGGTCTTGTGGGCAAAAGTCAGGATTCAGGCTCTATACCTGTAGAAGAAGAAAAAAGGAGGTGTGCTGCTACACTTCTGTTGGGCATTATTGAGGTTGTGATCAACATCACTGTTGCAGAGTTGGCAAAAGCTGATAATGTACGGAAATTGGAACTAGAAACAGAACTTTCTCGGTTTATCCATGTTCACGAGTCCCTCAAGAAAAATACTTTTAATGTTAGAAATAGCAACTCTACCAAAAGAGCCACTGTGCAGCCCACCGTTAGTGATGCACCTGATAAACCCACACTGGCCGCCAACAAATCTCCTGTCGAACGAACCCCTCTTTTAGCAACTGCAAGCATCCATCAGTGCTTGCAACTTGCGCTGGAGTTTTTGATCTCAGATAATTCTAAGAATGATCCAAACTCTCAGAAAAACAGCCAATCTTCTTCCTCTGGCAAGGCTCAACAGTTGGATTCTAAAATTCTTTCTCGAGTTTTACACATGTGCTCCCGTCAGCTAAAATTCTTCTCCTCCGCGGATAAAGATGACCCGTTGAAAATATTGATGCATGGTGAGATCAAGCTTCTCGGGCCGCCATTGGTGAGCATAATTCTGACTCTCGAGTTGGATCTTAGTAAGAAAGAGGCAAAGGGAAGGAAAGACACTGAGGACAGAAAAGACCATGTTTATCTGGCCTTGCTTTGTCTGAAAAGATTAATCGAGATAAGCTTGAGTTCGTCTAAGTATGCGGGTTTAATTGATGTTTTGATATCGACAATACCTACTGCTCCTGATGGCGTTGGGTGCAGTGATTGGTGTGAATTAGGTGAAGATATTGATGACCCGAGCACGAGAAGCAAAGAGTTGTTCATCAAGAGGATTGTAAATCCACTGCTTGACAAGTTTTTCGAGCTTTCTTTATTCCGTGAAGCTGAGGTAATTTTTTGTAGTGCTTTGCATCCGATTTTTAGGATATATATGGTGAAGAATTTACGCCAAACTAAATATGGACTGGAAACCATCATTCATCATAAATTTCTCATAGCACATGATTTTTTCTCTTTCCATTGTCCTCTCATGAAAAACTGAACATGTGACCTTGTGATACCTACAATTAATAATGTTTACAAAAGCTGCCCCTAAGTTTTAACCAAACTACCAAAAACTTGAGCTATTATGCAGAACTACAAGTACCCCATAAAGTATTAGGATGTCCTCTTCAGGTTTGTATTTTCCTAATGAGATACCCCCTTATGAAGTTATACAGTGACAGAGAAGCAAATATCATTGGGTTGTCTATAATTTTGAAAATATAATTGTTTGTTCCTTTTTATTTTTCCCTACCTCTCCCCGTTTGCCCTCTCTCCCTTGCTCTTTCTATCTCTATTGGTGGCTAAAACTCAGATGATGCTTCATAATTATCCCCATTGGAAACGAATATTTCACAGTAACCTGTATTTTTTTTTTTTTTTTTTTGGTGTGTAATTGTAAATTTGGGTCTCTTTTATCGTTCCTTTGCTTTCTCATTCTTCTGTGTGCAAAACGTAACTGAGAGATAATACATGTATATGATCACAGATTCTTAGCGACATAGTACTTATGATTGGCAACAAATTGCCAGAAGAAAGAAGGAAACTCGTTGGATCCTGGGCAATGCAAATATGCAAATGCAGCCACATTTCAAATTCAAAAGTTGCAAAATGTCTGGTCTTTATGGCTGTTACTTTCAGCTCACCTCCAGCAGACTTTGTTAATGCCGAAAATTTGTCTGCTGAACTTCTTAAGGTGGTAGGATCAGAAAATTCTGACCCTCAGGACAAATCCGAAATCTTCCCTGTTATAAATAAGTCAACAGCTGCTGCAATAGCTTCGACTATACTGCAGCTAGTCGAGTCAAACGTTGCTGACATTGACTGGATCACGATTAGGCTGAAAACATGCTATACGGTTTTTCAGAAAGGTATTTCTTTCAATCAAAGAGGCAAAGTGGATATGGAATTAGCTTTGGAGGAGGCGCTATATACAAGGGCAGAAGCCGTTGTAAAGGTGCTAGCCTATTTTGTGGACATGAACTTAAAGGGTATGGAAGGTGTTTATTTATAGCGTTGAGCTTCTGGTTTTACTGTTTGTCATTAATTGTATTGTAATGCTTTGGTAAGTGTAGACCCTCAAGCTGAACAGTTACTGAAGATGGCAGTGAAATTCTACAAGAATTTGGCGAGAATATCGAAGCTGCGGATTGCTCCTAAGGGGTGCAAGCAAGTTATACCCAGCTCGAATTACCAGAGGCTTGTGGAGATAACGTGCAGGCGATTAACGACACCAATTTATAATTTTGTTGCTCTGATGCAAAAGGTAAAATTTCTCCAAACATGATAGCATGTCGCTTATAAAATTAAAACAAAAGATAATTTATATATTTTAGAAGTTGTTTTGATTCTGGTCACAAGTCATTGACAACTTTTGAACGACGAAAGTATCAGTCAGTTGGTGTTTCAAATGCCTACTTGTGCTTCTAATTGGTCATAGTTATTTACATTGTAATGAGCATTGCAAATTCTATTGTGCTTTTTGGTTAGACCTCAGCGAACTTTCAGCTTGTCAAGGACACCGTCAACTTCTGATTCTTCCTCTACTGATCCGCTAATTTTTTTTCAGCGAACACTACCTAATAGCATTGTCAACAATATTAACGTATTATATTTTTTGCAGAACCAACAAGAAAGCAACAAAACTAGAGGCATAGTGAACAAGATCAAGAGGGAGAATAAATGCATACCGGACCTGATTTTTCAGATTGAGGACCACGAAAAGTACCTCATCCAGCTCAGCAAGATCACCAAAGTCAATCTATTGAGGCATGCAAAACGCAGCACGTCCAGGGACTTCAAGATTCATGAGCTGAGGGAAGACACTGCCGAAGAACAAATTCTGAACCCGGAACCGGATCGTGATAATTTGAACGTCACCGAGAATCATAAATCATTAGATGAGTCAAACAGTGAAGGCGAACGGGCTGAAAGCGGGCCGTTGCTCGATGGCGATAGCCCGTTGGCTGCAGAGGATACGGAGGATGAAGACGAGCAAGCTGCATTTCCTCAAGTGAAGAGGGCTAAAATGAGCCGGGTCGTGCAGGATACCTCAGATGAAGAGGTTTAGGTGCAATTTGGTGAAAAAATAGAGTAAATATTCGAGATCTTTTTGTATGTAGCTAAAATGTCAATATTTAGTTCAAGTTTTCCTTTTGTTCGAAGACTTTTTTCCACTGTGTCTTGACTTCCCTATTTGGATTGGATGTTCAACCTTGAATGTTTGACTACTGAAGGAATGTTTGACTAGTGAAGGTCAACATACTTACAGTTCCTTCTTTCATAGTCAAAATATTGTCAAAGGTTAAAAAAAAAAAAAGATTAGAAGGCAAAATTGCAACTTTAGTTCTGTTGGTTTGATCTAATGACGTTTTTAGTTCTAAGAATTGAACATTTTTGCTATTTGGTCATGTGATTTTAAAAATTCAACATAATTTTTATTAGCAATTTAAGTCTTGTAATTTTTAATTTTTTTTTTGCAATTTTAGTCTTCAAAGGACTGAAATTGCAGCAAAGTACTAAATTATTGGATTAAAAGACAAAAAAGTTTTAATTTTGAGATTAAAAATGCTACAGCGTTAAACCAGAACTAAATTACACTTTTGCCAAATGTAGGACCGTAAACAAAATTTACCGACAGTAAAAAAAGCAGATTTTTTTTTTTTTATTTTTTTTATTTTTTTTCAAATCTTCCGTCAGCCACATCAAGAAAACCAGCTTTACCTTTACAAATCAGTCCACCACACACCACTCTGTATCTGTATCTCTCTCTCTCTCTCTCTCTCTCTCTCTCTCTCTCTCTCGCTCAAAGATTTCATTTTGGGGAAAGATCCATTTTTTAATCTTGATTTTGAGAATAGTGAGTGTTATAAGGGAAAATGAGTGAAGAGATGAAGAGGAGCGGCGGCGGTGCAGTGGTGGCGCCGCTTATGTCTTCCTCCGACGATCGAAAATCCTCGTCCGGATCGAATCCCAGCAAGAAAGTCATCGTTAAGAGCGCAGATATGAAAGAGGACATGCAGAAAGAAGCCATCGACATTGCGGTTGCTGTAAATCTCTCTCCTTTCTCTTTCTCCCTCGTTGAGAGCAAAAAGAATAATGAAAGAAGCTCTCTTGATTTTTTTTTTCTTTTATTATTTTTCGAGTACACAAAGAACGTGTGATTTTTTTGTAGGCGTTCGAGAATTTTAATGTGGAGAAGGATGTAGCAGAGCACATAAAGAAGACGTTCGACAAAAAATATGGCCCAACTTGGCATTGCATCGTCGGCAAAAACTTCGGTATTAAAACTTCAAAACTTGTTTTTTGCTTCTAATATTGCCCTTCATTGTCAGCTGATTCAGTTTTCATTTTCCCTTGTATGTTCTTTCAAGATTCACCTAAGCCTATGATCTTGAATGTTGTAGTGATGGGGTGAAACTTTCAAAAGCTTTATTGGTCTCCATATGTGAATATAATTTGGACTAATCTTACCTGATAATTGCTGTCTTGTTGTTTAAATCATTTCTTATTTTTATTACTATTTCGTGGCTCTATTGTGGAGTTGGCTGAGGCATGATCAAAATTGCAAATAACCGGAAAATGATTACCATGGGTTTCGGGCAAGTAACTAGAGAATTTATTTACATAACCCCATTAGCCTGTTGTTAGTTGTTACATCACTAAGATCGGTAAAAGAAAGAATCATGGATCAAAATGGTTATGGAATTTTGGTTAGTTACACTCTTGCAGGCATCTAATACGTACATATACGCTCATTTATAGTGAGCAATTCGAAATTTGTCTAGTCTCTCAATTTTGTCTCAATCAGGATTTGACTGGTTTATTGTTATCATACTGTCCCACTGAGAGCATAGTGCCGTTTGTTTTATGTGTGTATAAGTTCTATTTTTTTCGCATATTTGTTATTTTGAATTGAATCCTGGGGCTCGGTTAACATTCTAGAGTAGAAGTTAGAGATAATAAAATTTCTGTGAAGTATTTAATAGGTAGGGAAGCTAAAGATTAGAAATTTCAGATACTTTGTTGAATAATTAAGAAAAATAAAAGCACTGGAATTGAAGAACTGATTGAAAGATACACGACTGTTATCGTTTTGGGGATTCAATGTTTATCTGTAATGGAATGGTTCCACATGAAATGCTGAAGAGTTTTACTATATAATGTGTGTGTATTCTCTTGAAAAGATTTACAATAAGCAGGAACTGCTGACAATATCCGCAACTAAAAAATCCTAATTTATTATCCCCTGTATGATAAATCAATACCTATAAACAAAACTAACAGAATTTGGGGTCCATAAGTGGCTTGATTGATTTATTTTAAAGCTCTATGTCTTTGTGAAACCACAAAGCTCAGTTTTTTGTAGTATTCTCTCTGTTAAAGGTCCAGTTGAATTGGTGTTTGAATATGGATGTGGGATAGAGCATTTCTTTTTATGAAATGACTTTTTGTATGGTGTTATAATTATTTTTTTTCTTTTTCCTGCCAATTTTCGAGCTTCAGTAACTTTTTTTTTTTTCTCTTATCAAGAGATGTTGGTACGAGATAAATTTGTTTTTCATCATGTTCTAAAGAATATATTTTGATGTCAAACTTTTTGTGCCCGTTTTCGTAATCTCACGACAATGAAAGAGTTGATTGAGTGCTCTAGCGAACTTTATTTTGTTCGCTTAAGGATACACAGTGATCATAAAAAAGATGCTAAGACCAAATGGTTGGTCAAATGATGAAAGAAGGTGTTTCTGCCTTTATTTTCTTAATGAATGCACAAAATATATTGTGATGACTAGTTTTTCCGAGGATTCCGTGTGATGCAATATGGGCTTATTCTACTTTTAACACACATTGTTAATGTGATACACTGAAGATGATATTTGGGTTTCCAACTGGATGCATGTTTATTGAGTCCTTTAGTGTTAGATGTCATAAATTGCCTAGGGAAGGTTTGCTTGCGATGCTTGTTTTATCATTATTATTTTTTTTTTTTCAATTTTCAAGAGTTCCTTTGTCAACATGAATTTCCAAATTTAGCAAAAACTTGTTATGAATAAGCCTTATGAACTTTGTTGGTGACCTTTCCTAAATTAGCCTTTGTTAACCATTGTGGTGGTGTCTGTTTTGAGAGAGAGAGAGAGAGAGAGAGAGAGAGAGAGAGAGAGAGAGTCTCTTACTAGCTCCTCTCTATTTGACCTAGTTTAGGAATTCTCTATGTGAACACTCAGTAATTAGTTGTATAACTTAACTTATTTTGTTTCTACCTTGCCTTGGCTCTTATCATCCTTTCTAAAATAGCTTTAATTTTTCTTAACCTTGTTTTTCATGGAACATCTTTTTGTTTTGGTTTGATGTTATCGACTAACCACATGAGTTATTCCTGAATTTCACATTAGGTTTATCATGTTTCATTTTGATTTCATTTTTCTTTTGAGTAAAAAATTGGCTGCAACCTGTAATGTACATTTTATGTACATTTTTTTACTCTTAACATTTTACAACCTATAGTATTTTTCGTGGTAAAGACAACCTAAAATTCATGAACACTCATAATTTGCAACCTAGCCTACATTTTGACCATACGATCTTAAATAGATATATCGATAATAAACTTGAAATGACCGAATATATTTATGTTTATTTTCATGTAACGTCACCGTGGACTTGGTGCTATGTTTCATTTTATTTAACTAGTAAAGTGCACGTGCGATGCACGTAGTGACGAATGTTTTTGGTCGATAAGATAAGTTAATTAATATTTAAACATATGATTGCAAGAACAAAATACATAATAAAACAAATAAACTCCTAATGTATTTTTTTTAAAAAAATAATATAATGTTGTTGTAACATAAAAAGATTTAAATAACATGTTGCAAACTCAACAAAAATATATAAAAAAATGAGTCCCTAATAGAAAAAAAAAGAACACTAAACTAAATAACTAAATAAGGAACTAATGTATATTATAGATGCATGAGTTCTTTTATTTATTTATGTTAGGTTAAAGATTGATTTTCTTTCATTTTAGTTTTGAATTCTCATAATAAACATTCATACTCGTTGGAGCCCAATAAATCAATAGTATTGCAAAATTTTTCTTAATTAATTTAGTAAAACGCCTGCTTTATTCAACATGTAAAAATACTTTAGGCAAACATATAGTCAAACTTCATAATTGAATAATCATTATAAGGTATTTTTACAAGGTATTTTTACTAACATTTCACAAATCTCTCTGTGAACTAACCAACTATGTTATTGAAACTCTTGATATTTTTTTAATCATTGTATAAATTACTACATTACTCTTCCTCCCTCTCTCTCTCTCTCTCTCTCTCTCTCCACAAGACAAATTGGTACCTATCCTATGGTGTGGGGACGAATTTCATCTCTAAATAAAAGTTAATTTTTTAAAATTATGTACTTTTCCAAAAAGACGCTAAATTATTTTAATATCATCACACATTACATTAAAATACACTCTAAAGTAATTGCGCATGTTATTGAGCACAATACACAATTAAGATTGTAAATGCTCCTATAAAAAAGTAAAAACTTATTCAAACATCCAAAAATATTTTGATCAAAATCGAACATTCCTTTATCAGTGTTATTTATTTATTTATTTGGAAGACAGACAAACTGCATAACCAATTATTTGCAAATCATTAACTATTTTGGTTGTTGCAATGATTTTAGAGTTATTTGTCCTAATACCTTTGACAATCGATCGAATTTGTAATAATGAGAAACATATCATTTGTCAAAATATTTGAGATGAGAAGAATTTGAATTCTATTATATTACGATACTCTTAGTCATCTATAAAATTTACTATTATGATGTCATTATTAATGTTTGTGGTCCATATGATAATATGAGATCATTATTTATGAGAATAAATTTCTTATAGAGAACATATATTTTAAATGCTAGCTACAAAAAAAAGTAGTAATTATAAAAGATTTTGTTTCTTGATATTGGTACTCATACTTTTCTAAGAAAATTCAGACTTTTTCTTTTCTCCATTGCATTATTATTGCTTTATTTTTTATTTTTATTTTATTCGCAAATAATATTCCATTTGTTGAGAGGATTAAAGCACATTAATATGCATTGTGTTTTTTTCCATGTTTGATAGTAATAATATACTTGATAAAAGTGTACTTTTATATTGTTTATAAGATTAAAAAGTTCTGGATTTATTTCCATTGTTTGATAAAATATTAAGTAACTAACTCATTTTTATATTCACAAAAACTATATTTTACAACCATTATGGTGTTCCACTTCAAGCAGTAATTGAATAATAGTTTAACATACAACTCATTACCTTTTTTTTTTTTTTTTTAATTCACATAGTTAATGTTGGTAATAGTTGTACATTTCTATCCATTTGCAGTTTTTCTTGGTATAAATATTTCAAACATATGTAAGAAAAATATAACACAAGTTTATCTATTGTTATTTTATAATTATTTAAATTGAGTTAACATGTGTCTATAATTTATTTTTAAGATACTTTTAGGTCTATTAATTATTTTAAATTAGTATTGATAGATATATATTTTATTTTATATCGATGAAAATAATTATATTGTTTTTGTTTTATTTAAAATACATTGGTCACGAAAGAAATGATGTGATATAAATCACATAAGAAATAATAACAAAAAAAAAATATTAATTATTTCACAATTTAAAAAAAAAAAATAATGCTAATATACTTAAATTTTTAATTAAAAAAATTAAGAATTAATGCTAAAATTTAAATTTATAAATTAAAAAATTTAAAAATTTATGAATTAAGAAGTTAATGCTAAAATTTAAATTTTTATTAAGTATTCAAAGGATTAAGAATTTAATTGAAAATTAAAAAATAATGCTAAAATTTATTTTGGATCCCCCATTGCAGATTTTCCAATGGAGATTTTAAGTTTTTTCAATGGAGCTTCCATAAAATTTTGTACAGTTTCAATGACAGTTTTTCCAACTGTTGAAATGTGGTTGGAAAAATTCCAACATAAATACACACAACAAGAAATATTGATAATTGAAATATCACAAAAGATTCTTTGTATTTTAATTTGATCTTTATTGGAATATCAATGAAATTTTTCAATGGAAGACTTGGAAGTTATACTAGTGAAATATATGTTGGTATTTTCAATAGAATCTCTTACCGTTGGACTTTTCCATTATAATATGGATTTTTTGTATTCTTTCTTAAAACATTAAAATTTTTATTTAGTAATTTTTGTTTTTTACTAATTATGTTTATATTTTTTATTAAAAATATATTAAACACGTGTACTTTTTAGTCCATATAATTTTCTTACAAATCACTAGCTATTTTATGTCGAGATTACATATTAATTTCTCAATTGAGTTATATTTACATATTAATAAAAATAAGTATTATTTTATATATGATATTTGTATGTTATATTAAAAAAGCTAATAACAAATAAAAAGTTATTTACACTTTAAATAATCTTTTTTTTTAAATAAAATAAAATTAAAATCCCTAACCTACATGGATAAAAGTATAAATAACTATTGTCAATAACCTAAAACTTACACGTAGAATTATTAATCACAAAAATTAACAAGTGTTTTACAATTCAACTCTTTTACATTGATAACGTCGATAAGCACAATTTTAAAAAAAATTATATTTATTGTTAATAAGTGTAACATTTTTACATATTACTTTTTTTTTTCATACTTATTACTAAGTGTTACAACTTAATTATATGTTTATTACTATTTATCATATTCAATATTTTCTTACTTTATATTGTTTTTTCATATATAACTTTTAGATTTGTTAAAAAAATGCATACAATTAACTATATAACTTTTGGGTCATATGCCATATTATCTTCAATTATAGTTGTAAATATTTATATTATATTACATATAATTACAATTTTCTCATTAATATTGTACTCAAATATATAAAAGAAAAATTATTTTGTACATTTTTTAATAAGAAATTGTTTTATTGTATATAAATTAATATTCACATGAGTAATGGTAATATATCGATATAACTTCTTTGTAAAAATTGATTAATTTTCAATGTATATAGGCATATCATGATTTCCAGATATTTTAATTAATTTGAAGTTAATGATGGATAAAAGTACAAATAACTATTGTCTATCACTTAAAACTTACGCTTAGAATTAATAAGAACAAAAAATTAACAAGTAATCACCTCATTTTGTTTACGTCGATAAGTTTGAGTTTTAAATTTTTATCTTTATTTTCATTAATTATAACATTTTGTTATTACTTTTTTCATTTTTATATTTATTAGTAAGTGTTACAACTTAAGTGTATTTTTAATATTATTTATCAAATTTAATATTTTTCCTTTATATTGTTCCTTTATATGTTTTTAATATATATATATATATATATATATATACATATAACTTTTGAATTTGTTAAAAAAATGCATAAATTGAAGCATAGAACTTTTAGGGTCATATGTCTTATTATATATTAATTAATTGTACATCTTTTCATCTTTTAAATGATTACAGTTTTCTAATTGATATTATACACAAATATAAGAAAAAAATATTATTCCGTACATTTTTTTGATAAAAAACATTGCTTTGTTAGAATAATACAAATAAATAGATAGATGAGTAATGGTAATATATCGATATAATTTATTGCTGAATATAATTAATTTTCAAGGTATATAGGCACATCATGATTCTCAGATATTTTTAATTAATTTATCGATAATTATATGATCTAAATTAAATCATGTTGGTTAAGTGGTATTTATTATGTTGTTTTTGTTGAATCATTTATCTTAAAGAACTTTATATATAAAAACCATTAAATATGATTACGATTTTATCATCAAAATTATATTAAAAATAAGGACATTTTTCAAAATAACAATTTAATTTCATTCCAAAAGGACCAAAATATTGTTGTTTTCGTTAATGTTGAGTTGATTTTTTAGAGATATGGAAGAAAGTAGTTTGAGAGATATGTGGGGAAAAAAAAAAACAAATTCTTTAGGAATAATTGTGTGAACTATTGTGTTTGATTTTTGAGAGATGTGGAATGTCTTGTTCGTGTAATTGTGTTTAATTAATTAAACATTGTATGGATATTAGAGTATTACTAATTTGACATTCATGTAATTGTATTTAATTAATTAAATATTAAATGGATATTAGTTTTACTAATTTAACACTAAAAATATGTCAAATAAAGGGTTTTCATGTAAATATTAGTTATTAATAAAAAAATATAATATGAGATGGATATTAGTGTATTACTAATTTGCCATTAACAATATGTCAAAGTAAGGGTGTTTTAGGTAGTTCATTAATACAGAAACAGAATGATTATCCCTATTGATCTACTTTTCAGTTCAGTTCTGAGTTTAGGAAGATGACAGTTTTATCATATTTTTTATCCTTTTCTCCTGAGAGTGAGCCTCTTATGTCAATTCTTCTCAATTTCTTTTCTGGCATTATTCTGGGAAATATATGTCAATCACTACCAGCTATTGTAGTGTGAATCATGTTTTTCATGAAATAATTGTAATAATTTTCCGGTTGGTGGGGTATAATTCGAGTGTCCAGTGGAGAAATTTTAAACACTCTATATATATGTGCATATAATTCGAACGAGAACACGATAGAACCATAAAAAGAAATGGTTTTTCCGGTGTTGACATTCATTCTTGGAGATAGTGTACTAACTTGTTTTCACCCACCGAACACATTTTAGGTTCCTATGTGACTCACGAGACAAATCACTTTGTCTACTTCTATCTGGACTCAAAAGCAATACTCCTGTTCAAATCTGGCTGAGCTGTGTTATATGAGGTGACGTGTGAACGGTGACCGACAACGACGAATAACGAACAAAGATAAGACGTCACGATATGTGTTCTGTACCTATTTCTGTCAAGATCACTCGTCTTTTTCTGAAGACTCTTGCTTGTACATTTTTTTTTTCCCTGAATTTACTTGAGATGTAAAACCGACCGGTTTATGTTCATCTTGGCTTTTTGTGCTGTTTACTTGATCAATCAAATTGAGTGAAAGGAAGAAGGAGATGGTTGGTTGAAGAACACACCTGGTGTACTAAATGGGGGTAATTATACAATTTACCACTCAATGGGCATTTCTATTTGTGTGTGTGTGTGATTGAAGAGTTTGTTGGGAGTAAACAAAATGTTTGTTTCAGCTGAAAACATAGTACAAAATGTCCCTTTCCAAGGGTGGGGGCTAAGGCAGAGTACTATTGATCATTGATGTGCTTTCAATAAGAGAGACTGAGACCCCCCATTTCATTTAATTTCATTTCAACAAATGTACAACTCCATTGTGTCCTATGTTTTCTGATGATATATGATAATTTTTCAATACTTGATGTTCATGATATTAATAAATTGTACTTTCAATACATTGTTTAGGAAATAACACTCACCCTCACCCTTCCAAATTATTAGCCATTTTATGATGATTACAAATATTCTAGCTAGCTTTCACTATTTATAAATAGTTAATTTGTGGTTTACTTTTCTTTTTTTTTTCATTGGTTTCTAAATTGCATTATTTTTCGATTTATAATTTGTTTATGATTAGTTTTTGCATGATTTTATTTTGACGTCGATTTTTTTTTTATTTTCAAAATAAATAAATAAGTAATAAAAAACTGTGGTGAACATAAAAAAAAAAAAATTGATTAATGTATGTCGACGTATTTGAGATCACTTTCTGCTATCGAAAGTATTCGATATGCACATATGTAAATAAAGTGTTATGAGTTATTTGTATGCATATAATATTAAAATTATAAGTTAGATAATGATATTATATTTTAAACATGAAGTGTTATAAGTTATATTTATGTATAGAATATTAAAATTATAATTCTATTAAAATTATAAGGTACATATAAAGGTATTATGTTTTAACAGCGGGGGAATTTTTTTTACCATGCTGTTCTGTAAGGAACTAAATTTATAGATGGTTAATAATATCTTATGTTCATTTACATTTTTATCCTTCAGCATGTTTTAGGCATAAGAGTTGTCATTTGTAATCTAGCACCTTTAGTTATATCATGATAGTATAAATAGGGACTAACCCTATTCTTGTAACCCTAGTTTTATTTTTCGATTCTCAGAACACAAACAACTGTTCATCTCCCTTCTCTTTCTCTCTGTAAAACTCGTGTAAATCTTTCCTCCATTGATGTTAATATGGTATCATTCGCCAGCAATTTCCTGTTCTCTGACGCTTCCGCACTCTGAATCCTCTTTCTGATCTCTTACCTTTTCATATTTTGTTCGATTTGTGCTTCGATCTGTGCTCGTAACCCTAAATTTATCGCTATGGCGGTCAATCCTTCTGACGATCCCTCATCGACTTTCTACCTGCATCCTAGTGACAATCCCGGCGCTCTAATCGTGGCGGACACCTTCAACGGCGACAACTACGTTTCCTGGAGCCGCGCGGTCACCATGGCCCTGTCTGTCAAAAACAAAATCGGGTTTGTCGATGGATCTGTTACTATTCCATCTGCTACTGGTAATCCTGCTCTCTATCTTGCTAATGGTAAATATAATTGGCCAACCCACCCCATTGTCCCCATATATTATATTTACTAGTACAGAGCCCGTGCGATGCACGGGGTGCGTAATTTTAAGTCACTTATCCATTCTTATAATTATATAAATGAATAAAAAAAATGTACGGGATATATATAGTACGTGACCTGTAATAGGCCAAAATGTGAACATGGGTGATACACGGGGTGCACAATTTTAAGGTTATTTATTAGTACAGAGCCCGTGCGATGCACGGGTGCATAATTTTCTAGTATGTATAATAAAAATACATACCGTATGCACGGGACAGAAGCACTAAATGAGTCATTTCCACAGAGCTTGCCTGTTAAGTAGCTCCTGAACACGGGTGTAAAATTTGTAGTACGTACCATAAAATCAGAACAGATTTCCATACAATTAGATAATAAATTAGATAATAAATAAAGCCTTTTTATTTTAGTAAAGATTTTATGTACTTTGTTTTTTTACTTGTCGGATGTTATGGGATTTTTTTTGTTAAACCGATTTTATGGAATATAATACAAATACAATTAGAGGATTGAACAAAATCAGAACAGATTTTCATACAATTAGATAATAAAAAGGAATTAGATAAGGAAAAGAATGAATTAGATAAGAAAAAGAAGAAATTAGATAAGGAATTTTGAATTTGACTTTTTTTTTGGATAGATAGACTTTACGTACAAATTTTGACTTCACTGATTTTATGGATTTATTTTGACAAAATCGATGTTAATATGGAATAAGACAAATAAATAAAGTCTTTTTATTTTAGTAAAGATTTTACATGTTTTTTTTTTACTTGTCAGATGTTATGAGATTTTTTTTCTTAAACTGATTTTATGGGATATAAGACAAATAAATAAAATAATTAAATAAAATTATGGATAGAAATAGCAATGCATTAATTACGTTGCCTTTTCAATCTACTAAATTTGGTAAATAGGATACCTTATATAATAAGTATAGATACAAATAAATAACATGCCAAAATTTTAAAGAATAATTAATGTATTTTAATTTATTATCTAGCCATCAGTAATATCATTTAATGATGTGATCATTATCTCTTAAATGATAAATAATGTATTAATTTAAAAAAAATATTTGTTTTTTATATAATCAAATAAAAATTAAAAAATACTATCGACAAATATGAATTATAATATATATCAGTAAAATCATTGCAGAAGTTAATAAAATTATATAAGGAAAGAATCTTTTTGATCATATTTGAATATGAAATGTATATATGCAAGCAATTAATGCATATAATAAAAAATTTCTAAATAAAGTATGCTTTAAATGTGAGTTGACTTTTTTTGCTACTATTTTTGGTAAATAATATGACTTTTAATATAAGTATAGATATGCTTTGAAGTTCTAAAATTTCTGACTCTAATGAAATTCCTCATCTACCCTTTTGCTAAATATGTTTTTGCCTTATTGGCCTCCACTTGTGCTTTGTTTTCTTCTTTATTTTGGCTCGTCCGAGCTAACAACAAATACTTGTACCCTTCTAGTGATTGTTCATATTAGTTCCACGATAATAAAATTAAAAGAAAAGGAAAAAATGCCCATTAATTGTAATTTAATTCGCAGGATTAGTAAGTTTTGTGGCTTATTAATAAGTGAGTGGAGTTAGATTATGATGAGATCAAATCCTTTTGAGAAATATATTTTTTTTTATTTAGCCAGCCACGGTATCCGAAACTATGCCCCGACTAATCCGTTGGTCGACCCGGATCGCACACCTGGCAGTGGTGGGTGGGTCTCTCAACAAGGATTTTCTGCATCCACAAGAACTCGAACCTGAGACCTTACTTAAACGGCATCAAATTATTTACCACTTGAATCAACCTCTGTTGGTCTTTTGAGAAATATTTTGATATGAAAACTGAGCTGCAACAATGTATATTTGACAAAAAAAGTTTCTGTTCAAGAAGATCCAATACATGAATATTTTCAAAATAAGAGTAAATAATAAATAGACTTCTTAGAATATTTTCAGATATTTCTTTTATGTGGCGTATAGGTTAGATGTGGCTAAAACGCGGGCAGGGTCGCTGGGCCTCAAAACATCACCGGTTCATTGGACCGTCGGTTCTTGCTCGGTTCCTTTTTTTTAAAGGAACTTTATTTGAAAAGAGAAACAAAAGAACCCAATGTTAAAGCAGAGCGAAAACGAAACGACAGTGGTGGAGCAGTGTCCGGCAGAGCGAACCAGAATGGAATAATTCTCTCGAATATTTTTTAAGCTCATGATTCCCTTTTAAAATGGTGAACAATTGAAATATCCATTTCATTTGCTAGTTATTCTTTTTCAATTATGAACAATTCCAACAACTGCATATGAGATGTAAATGAGTAGTATAGTTCAAAAAGATATCTTACCATGTTAAATCCATGCTCTCTGAACTGCATCCACTTAATTGTTATAGTTCTTAGACATGGCAATAGGTATTTAGACTCTTAACTCTTTGAAGTCGGGACTGCTGGCGACTGCGGGTTTGACGAAGGCAGAGATGAACTGTGTTAGCGGTGATTTGCGATGATTTGGGGGTGGCGGTGATGATGATCTATTGTGGGCGGCGGTCTAGTGGTGGCAGTTGGTTGAAACATTTTCCGGCTAGTGGTGGTTGTCTGCCTGGAAGTGGTTGGGTGTTGTATCATCATTTTTTCTCATTTTAATTAGTTTTTTTCTTTTAATTTTGAAATTAATATCATCATTTTATTTTTATCTCATAAAGCAGTTTTTTTTTAATAGCTAATTGGTTTAATGAAACAACAAACCTTTTAAAACTGTATAAATAATTTCAATAATAATAATAATAATAATAATAATAATAATAATAATAATAATAATAATAATAATAATAATAATAATAATAATAATAATAATAATAATAATAATAATTTAATTTTTTCAACCAACTAATCGATTTGGATTCTTTTATTTTGTAAGTACATTATTCATTATATTTATGTCATGTAATCGTTTTATTTGTATTTGTACACGTACACAGACATTATTTGTATTTCATGAAAGGACATTCGAATAACAGCAATTATACATTATGCTTTAAACGTGCAATAATGTCAACCTAAGACAAAGTTCCAATCAAAGACAGCAGCGAAAATATATATAATGCAGGAATCAAATGAAAAAAATGAATAAAATTGAAACGCAACAACTGTATAGTTTGTGTACTCTCTCTCAAGTACAAAAAT